CGGCCACGTCCTGGGGCAATCGCCGGCCCCACGGGGCACAGGACGTCGAAGAGCCTCGTTCTCCCTTCTAAAGGCCTAAACAAGGACTGGAAAGCGCCTGGGGTCAAGGGCTGGGTCCAAGGTTCTAAGCCATTTCCTTTAACTTGGCCTGGTTTTCTTGGCCGGGACCCAGCGCTAGGGGGAGTCTAAGAGGGGCTGCCCGGCCTGTAAGCCAGGCCTCCACATCAGACCACGTTCACGGCTCCAGGACCTCTGTCAACCTGGGCCCTGGTGGGCCGACTCCCCGCGCCCTGACTCGGGCTCTCGGGGCTCCCCTCCCGGGCAGCGCACCTGGACTCTCGATTCCGGCAGGTTGATCTTGAGCGCCACCTCCTCACGCATGAAGATGTCAGGGTACCGGGTCTTGGCGAACAGCGCCTCGAGTACGTCCAGTTGCGAGCGCGTGAAGGTCGTGCGCTCTCGCCGCTGTTTCCGCGGAGTGGCTGTGGGGACACGCGGGGGCGTCAAGAAGCAGCGACCGTCACGCACACAGACAGGCCCCAGGCCTGAGCCCAGAGTCCACCCCGGCCATCCCGGAGCTCCAAGTAACAGACACTCTCCAAGGAAGACAAGCCAGACAGGCCACAAGTGGGAGAGTGTGTGCGTGCGTGCGCGCCTGGGAGCCAGTGACTCCAAGACTCCAGGGCTGCCCCTCCCTGAGCCCCAAAGGTTAAAAAAAGGACGAGAAGCGAGAAGCCGCGCACTCTCCCTTCCCCCACATCCCCTCCGCGGACACTCCCGCTGGCTGGGGGTGAAGGCGGCTAGGGGGCTGTGCGGAAGCAAAACATGTAACACGTTTTGGGGACATACATGGGGGTTCATGCTGGGACCCGGAAGAGAAACCCAAGGCTTGACTGACCCCATCCATCGGTTTCAGCAGTGCAAGAGTTGCTTCGCCTTAAAGGAAACAACTGGGGAGGGAGAATGGCCCTTTCTCAGTTTAGCTGTAGATTTGCATTAAAGAAGTTAGGCCTTGAGGTCTAACTCTTCCTCTAACAGCATCGGATAAAGACCCTCAATATCTCATTTATTGCTGCGAGGTGGAAGGGGTGGTGGTGAGGTTCAGAAAAAAGCCCAGCTAGGGTAAAGCATCCAAGCGCAGGGCCCCAGGAAGGTGGCAACAGGAACCACCGGGCCCAAAGGGCGCACTTTACACCTTCATGTCACCAGTTCCGTTCTCATCCAGCCACACTCAGCGCCTTCCATTAGTTTTGCTTTGTAAGCAGAGTAGGGTATGCTGGGCCTGCTCGGCCATAGGCAGCCGACAGCTGGGGATCCATCACCCAGCATTTGCTAGGGTCCAGAGGGTCAGTGCTCACCTGGATAGCCCACGGAAGGGTGCAGCAGGTCCATGGCCGGCCCAGCGAGGCCTAGCCCGTTCATGCCGTATGGGGGTTGTTTGAGGTAAGACATCATGCTAACAGCCGGGTGGAGGCGCCCCGACGGATCCAGGGGGCCGGGGCCTGGCGCGGTGCGGGAGTTCCCACCGCACAGCTCTTTCTGTTCCGGAGCGTCTAGGGGCCTGGCCTATGGAGACACCACACACAAACATGGAAATGGTCAAGCGGAGCTAACCCCTGATGGATCGTTGGGGGGCCAAGGGGGAGTGTGGGGTGGAGGCGCGGACTGCACAGGCGACGCGGCCAACCTCATAAGGCCTCGGCAGAGAGACCACAGCTATTTGAAAAGTAAACTTTTCTGGGTCATCACTGCCTCTCTGAAAAGACACTTGTAGTACGTCCCTGGTTGAGTGAGGAGAGGTTAAAAGCCTGACCAAGCTGGGACAGTTTAAGGCCCTTAGATGGACAGACAGAGCTTCTAAGTTGGAGGCAGATTTTGAGTCAGGCGGCAGCCGGCCTCTTACTCAACAAGCAAACAAGCTCGGCGCCCTGTTGCAGACTGACCTGAGCGGGAAGGATCATTTTGTTCCTAATGTTTGCAAGCACGATGAAAAAAGCAGAGGGTCCAGGGTAGGAAGGCGCAGCACCGAGGGGAAGTGGGCAGCACGGGGCAGCCAGCCCACTGGGGAGCCTTAGCTCAGTCCAGGGTTCCCGCAGCTGAGGCCTGGCCTCAGTGCCCGCCAGCCACCCTTCCAGCTGACCTCGGTGCCTGGCCGCTGAAAGATCGCTCATCGCAATCCCACCGCATCTCCACTGGAGTCATCCGGAGGTGACCAGGACCTTCAACCTGCAGCTACTCGCAGAAGTAGCCGGTAGACGCCAGTAGGGGCGAAAGGGGCCACTGTAAAAGTGGAGGTGCCCATCCGCGAGCCCGAGGTCCCGGGTGCCCCTGCCGCGCGTCCTCTTTGGAAGCATGGGCCGGGCCTTCTCTCTGCTACCTCCTGGGCGCAGGACAATAGGGCCTGGCTGGTGTGAGAGGTGACCAGCTCAGTATTCCAAAGGACCTCGGGGGTACAGGAGGCCTGCGTGGAGCCTGCAGCCTCAGGAACCAGCCGAAACTAAGAAACTAGGCCTCAGCGGCGCAGCTCGCGCTGCCCTGGCAGGAAGGTCGAAGCTGGGGGATCGCATCTGCCCGAACTCAAGGCGCAACTCTCGGGGGTCAGGAAGGAGCACTGGGAACGCGCCTGGGGCCTTGGGCCCCTGTCGCCTCGTCCCAATTCCCGGGGACTCCTGAGCAGGCCTTGTGAGCCGGGCTGGGGAGCTCAAGAGGTGAAGTTAGAGCTGACGAAACCCTCTTTCCCGGTCTTCGGAGACCAGGGGCCTAGGTTTGCGAGGCAAGGAAGGATGTGAGAGGCCGCCTGGACTGTTGGGTTGAGGAGCAAGTGGGTCTCCAATCACCGCGGAACCGAGACCAGGCTGCTGCATGTTTTCAAAGACTTTCTCCAAACTTGGCATTTCAGCTCGCTTACTTCGGAAGAGGCGGGGAGGGGGGAGGGGGGCGGAGGAGAGAGACGTGGGACAGCAGCCGCTCTCAGGCGCACCCCAAGACCGAGAGGGGCGCGGGGACAGGTCTTCGGCCCCGCCCCCCGGCTGTGGACATAAGGAAGCGGGGACCCAGCTGAGGAGGGGAAAGCGAGAGTAAAGGGCGCGCGCCCCGTGTCCCGGGAGGCCCCGTGGCTCTCTCCTTACCTGCCCTCAGCTGCCGTGGCGGCTCACCATCTACCTCGCGCCCTCACCGAGACCCACCGGGCAGCCAACCTGGAAAACAGAGGGGCGCAGGGGTTACCCGCCGGTCTTGGCGCGGCAGGAGGAGGATCCCAAATTTCTTTCTTTTCCCCAACTTCTCTCTTCCCATCCTTCTCTCTCAGTGGCTTCATGTGTGTGTGTCCCCCGCTCCAGCCCCAGTTTCGTTTTATTGCACAGACACTTTGTTTGCAAACCCCGCGCACGCTCCTGGGACCCTGGCTAGCCGGGACTCGCGCCCGGGGCCCGCACAGGGGGGGGAGGGCTAAGGGGTGAGAGAGGTAGAGTTGGGAGCAGGCTGCCCGTGGCCGCTGCGCTCCGGGCGCAGCACGGAGGCGGTGAGGGCTGGGAGAGTCTTGCAGAGGTACTTTGCAAACTAAATAAATCAAGCGATTTACCTTGTCGGAGCGGCTTGTCTTGCTCGGGTGTTTAGGTGATTGGAAATGTAGCCTGATGAAGATTGATCACCTTTCTACTGCCCTCCCCGGGTATGTGAACGCGAGGCGAGTGCGTAACGGGGCGAGGCCGCCAATCGGGGGCCCCGTGCGGGCTGAGTGACAGCGAGCCGGGCAATGGCAGCCCGAGCCGAGGGTTACCTCCGCGCGCCCCCGCCCTCCCCGCCCCCTGCACCCCGCCCTCGCCATCCGCCCGCCCCGCCCCGGCCGCGCGCTAACTTGGGGCTCTGCTGGTGAAACGCAGCGCAGACCCAGGCGGTGAAGGCGGACGCAGCGACGGAGTCCCGGCTGCCGAGGGGCGCGGATCCTGGGGCCAGGCCCCGGGCCCCCGCCCCTCTCCCACCCTCCTCCCGCCCTTCGGGGCTCGCGAGGGGAGTGGTGGAGAGGAGGCGAGGTGCTGGAGAACCGGTTTCTGCGCTCTCCCGCGCGC